CCCCAGATCATTAGTTCATGACAAAGCGTGGGTTCTCACGTGTCGCTGTTATCACAGGGAGGGGCAGCTCTTCAAGGTCGCTGGTGCCGCGGGTCTATCCATGACTGCTGTCGGTAAGTTCGCTTGTCTCTATGCTAGATCGAGCATTGGGCGTTTTGAACGCATGGGTGGAGCAGCACTGTGCTTGGTTGCTCATGAGGTGTTTGTAGAAATGCCAAGCTTGGCTAGTCTGGTTGCTTGGCACAGAAGTTGCTGGCAGAGATACCACACTTTCATGCACATCTAATAATGATAGTAAAACTCGACACTCTTAGGTCTTATAAAGATGCTTTGTTGTGCCAGATATGCCTGCAAAATTTAACTCGTCATGCTCTTTCAGTCTTTGCCGTCAGGTTGGTGGAGGCAGCCCTGGGTCTCGTCGCACTTTTGACACTGCCAGCGTTCTTCAGGGCACTGGTGCTGTACAATGGGGGGAAGGCATTGGCCAAGGAGGACAAGGTTGTGTTGTCCGAACGCCAGCTGGGGCTTCTTGGGTTAAAGACCACAGGCTCAGAAGGATCTCCTATGGGTGAGCAAACCAAGAAGCCTCCCAAGGCAAAGCCATCAACACCCTCAGAGCCAATTGTTCCTATCAGGAGATCTTCGTTCAGCTACACACCGTCACGGGTGCAACCAAGGATTGGCTCCAGCCATTTGAGCCCTGGTAGTGAGAGATTGACCACATTACAAATGTCACCTTCCACTCCACTACAGAAGCCTGTTTCTTCCCCTTCAACTCCATGGTCGAGGAAAAGCTCAGGCAGTGCCAAGGGCATACAAACTGAGGCGATGTTGGACCAGTTCTTGGCTACCTTGGATGAAAATATTGATAATGTCATGGATTCAGCCAATAAAACTGCAACACCTCCAGCAACCATCACGAGCTTTGGCATTGCCAGCCCTGTCTCAGTCACCACATCAACCACACCTTCTGGTGCTACACGGAGCACACCTTTGAGGCCTGTGAGGATGTCTCCTGGCTCCCATCAGAAGTACAGCACGCCTCCGAAAAAGGGCGAGGGTGAGCTTCCACCGCCAATGTCCCTGGAGCAGGCAGTGGATGCCTTTGAAAATCTGGGTGTTTATCCTGAGATCGAGCAGTGGCGAAACAATCTCAGGCAGTGGTTCTCTTCAGTCCTGATGAGCCCGCTTGTTGAAAAGATTAAATCAAGCCATATTCAGGTGCTAATTAATTGGCATTGTTTTGCTGGAACCTATATTTCTAGTAGAGTTCAGTAGTCACCATTTTATATTGTTATTATGCTCCGTTTCAGGTTAAGCAAACAACAACTAGTATTGGAGCTTCAGTTAATGTTAGCCAAGTTGGAAGCGATCTGCCAAGCACGACACCACCAGTTAGCTTATCTCCACTTGGTGGGACTAAAGATTGGCAGCCAACTGTCACTGTTGATGAGGATGGTATTCTTAATCAAATGCGGGCTGCATTTCTGCAATCTCGTAATGCTCCTGTTGGTGAGTTGCTGGTGTAGTTGAACTTTCCTGCTTAGTCTTGTTTGTTCATACGTTTCCATCAACTTGCGCAGCACAGGCTTTTGATGTGGTTAAAGTTAGTTTCCTCATTAAGTTTGGCATGAACTTCCTGACTTACTAGTAATTCTTTTCTCTATACAGCCCAAACCTTTGGTAGCCCACAACAGCCACAATCAAACCCCCTCCTTCCAGCTATTCAAGCATGTATCGATGCAATTACAGAGCACCAGAGGCTTAATGCTCTGATGAAGGGAGAGCTTATAAAAGGCTTGCTGCCACAGAGTAGCGTCCGTGCTGATTATACTGTTCACAGAGTTCAAGGTGAGTCATTCATTATTTTATCTGAGAAACAAACTATACAGACTTCAGTCTCTTGATGCTATTTAGACGTGCAGTCATAAAATAGAGTGATTATGAATATTGATATAGGTGCAACTTGTTTACTTATATCTTGACCCAGAACTTGCTGAAGGAACGTGCTTGAAGAATTATGATTACATGGGCTACAGAGATGGCTATGGTAAATCAGAGAAAAAATGGACCAGCGAGCTGCCAACTGACTCACATCTTCTTCTCTACTTGTTTGCTGCTTTCCTTGAACATCCAAAGTGGATGCTTCATGTTGATCCAACCTCCTACTCTGGTGCCCAGTCTAGCAAAAATCCTTTATTTCTAGGAATCCTTCCACCGAAAGAGAGGTTTCCGGAGAAGTATGTTGCTTTGATATCTGGTGTTCCTGCAATTATTCACCCAGGAGCTCTTGTATTGGCTGTGGGCAAGCAGAGTCCTCCAGTTTTTGCCCTATACTGGGACAAGAAGCTGCAATTTTCTCTTCAGGTGATTCAAGCATTTCTGTTGATTAATTAATCATACATAATCATTATTCTTTTGCCTTAACTGCCAAATATAATCATTGAACATGAATTGTGAAATTGCTGAAATTGAGAGTTTAATAAAACACGCAACATTGAAAGTTAAAGGATTGACAAGAAACAAACCCAAAAGGTTGTGAGTGGGAAAGAGCTGAGATATGTTTCGTGTTATAACAAGTGGCTGAAAGTAGATGTTTTGATGCAGCAATTATACATTTTTTTACCCCTTGTCTTGCTTTATGTTGGTGCGGAAATGGTGAATTATGATAACAAATTAATGGTATATACCATGATTTTGGCATGGAGTGGTTTGGTGTGACACACATTTAATTTAAGTTGAGCTTCATATCTGCCAAAATATTATCCTTTTGTTCTAGCTTAGCATGACAATAGTGGCATAGAGGTATACATCAAGCAGATGCACTCTTCTTGTTTTGTGTTTGTATGCATGGTAAGGCTTTTTATTGTTGCTGACAAACATGTTCACCATTTATGAATTGTTTCATACCTTAGTGAGCAACTTGGCGTCATAAAGTTGCTTGCAAAATGTTGTTACTGAACTCAAAGAAATTTGATTATGTAGTGTATTAATGTTGTACACACGTGTTTTGACTTTTCAGGGAAGAACAGCACTGTGGGACGCCATTTTGCTTCTATGCCACCAAATCAAAGTTGGTTACGGCGGTATTGTCAGGGGCACCCACATCGGGTCTTCTGCCTTGAACATCCTTTCCGTTCTTGATTCAGACATGGAGAGCTGAAGAAGGGCTGCCTGCTCGTCGGGAGGAAACTGTTGTAGCTTGTAGTACTCTGAACTGAAGGAGATAAATTATGAATATCCCAGTTACTGGTGCGACCTTGTTATCAACACCAGCAATGTCTCGAACTAACTTAGTGTTAGAATGCGGTATGGCCTAGTCGAGCGGACACCTGATATTTATTTCTAAGTTGTATCTTAAATCGCTGACTGTTCAAACTCCTTAATGTAATGCTTATGTGCTTGAATTTCCTACTACATCATCTTCCTATCGAGAGGGAAAAAAATGCCATTTATCCTTTATCAATTTTATTTACTAAATCAATTATCATCATCAGTGAACACACGCCCTCTCTTTTTGTTTCTTCCCTAGAAAGAAAGAAAAGCTCCCAACAGTCTAGGATTTCTCCACCTCCTGTCGTCGCTGCCACTGAATTGCCTCGTCTTCTGGGCCTCAGAGCCATGGAGTCGTTCTTAGGTGTTTTTTTTAGTGTTTTTTAGGGTTTGCGTCCCGCTCAGGAAGGTGAGGCGATAGCGGCTTCTTGAAGATAGAATAAGGTTCTTCCTACTTAGCCCTCGTCCCAGCGGTGTGTCTCACATTTGTCGGAGGGCGTGTGGAGGTGCCGGTGGATCTTGCGGGATTTGGTCGGCGCTTGTCTTTGTTGGGCCTGCGTGGATCTAGCCTTTGTTCTTCTGCGTTTGTGTGTCTATAGGTTAGATCCTACCGATCAATGTTTTTCTTCGTCAACGACGGTTGTTGTTTTGGTGCGCTGGTCTTTTGGGGCCTTAACATGACAAATTTCCTACTGTCTACTACAACAAGGTGCGCCCCGTTCCGGTGAGGGAGGGGCAATGACAGGGACGCGTTTTCGGCTCGCTCCAGTGTTTATAGTCGTCGCTTATTGATCTACGAATGCGGATGCATTTTTTGTTACTTTTAATGTTTTTTGTACTACCATGATATTTGGTGAATATATCGGAGTTTTTTCTAGTATTATTTTTTATCATCATCAGTGATCATTCATCACATTTTTTCAATTTTTTTGAAACCACCTTTTTTTTTTCATGTGGGGCCTGAATGCCTTTACGCAGCCAAACCGGGCCTGCCAGCCTACTAAAAGGCCATGTAATCAACGGCCTGACCCAAAAGGTAAATATGGGGCCCAGCGAAACGCCCGCTCCTCTCGCTCGTCGGAGCGCCGTCCAGTTCAAAATATTTCAAACTCAACGCCCCCCCACCGGCCAACGGGCGATTCCCCCATTCCCCACCACCTCCCCCACTCTCTCCACACTTACCATCTCATATCAGCAGTTTCCTTGAACCCAACACCCCCGCTCCTCCGCATCTTCCGCCATTTCCTTCATCCAAACACCGTCCGCTGCTCCATCTCCCGCCCTCC